GCAAAAATTCGTATAATGCTTAAAAATAGGTTATCAATTAAGTTCTAATTTTTGAACCTCACTGTCGCTATTTGGAAATTGTGACAAATTGATCTTACCTGATCTATATCTGTCCCAAAGTTGTTATCTACTAGTCCATTATCTCAAGAATATTTACAGTTACTTGCTAATAGTTTTGATTTCTGTGGATCATTATTATTGTATCACGATTAACATATGAGAAATTGAAGACAAAATATGATTGGAGAACACTGTTTGAGGCAAATCACATATATATGCATTATTTAGATAAAATGAATTAAGTTAGTAAGCTCTAATTCTAAATTGAGAGATTGCTTAAAACCAATAATTCTATGAAATAAAAAGAAATGCTTCAATTTTCTTATTTTCAAGAAGCAAATTCACTGATAAAACCTTTGAATAGATAAATATTGTAACTTTTATTTAGAATCCTACTTTTCAATTTTTTTCTTTCTATAACTTCAACAATTTATTTTCTGTAAACTAGAGTCAGTAATGCTTCCTCTAATTAAGACAGCTATTTATTATTATAATTTCCTTCCATTAACTTATCATTTTTCTTTGCTCTGGCAAAATTTAAATTAGATCTAATTCTAATTTATAAATATGCCTTGTTCTTTAATTTTCCCTTTGTAATTTGATGCACAAATTTTTGTGTAATGTCCAATTAATCAAAATATTCAGGCTTATCAGACAACCCCTCTGTTTTAACATTGCTTGTTAGTAACGAATAGAATTTAAGTCCAACATAAAAAAAAGAAAATTCATTAAAAAAACAATCTCATAAAGATAAGGCCTTTAACTGGTGGGATATTCATTATTTTCATTAGTAAAAAGGAAATAAAATTGAAAAAAGTAAAGAGCAAACCTTAATTGTAAATCATTAAGCCTTAATTAGCAGTAATGACAAATAGTTCCAATTCCATTTCCGTAAAAACCCTTTTTCCTTCATAATTGTTGCAGCAAAGTGTATACGGTCTCTTTAGTTTCCGCTCCTACGATTTCAGTCCCTCAAAAATGATCCCAAAGCCATCCTTTTTCCATGCTTCACCGGCTGTTTGAAATATATCACACATTTTCAATTAATTATTAATTTTTTACATTTCACATCCGAAAACTCAAAAATTTTAATGATTTTAATGATTTTTAATTAATTTAGGAAATAGCAAAGACAGTTTTTTTCATTGTTCATTAAATGAGAAATACAAATGTTTTTCTTCTAAAAATAATATTATAAATAACATGAATTAATTTTTTTTTCAAACCACAAATTCAAGGTTTTTTGTCAATTTCTTTTTTATTTAATACTTAACATTTGATTCCAAATTTCGATTTAATTGCTTCCATGAATTGTTCATTAGTATTTTGCACCACTTGTTATTGCCCATCTTACCAACAATTATTTTAACTCGGAAGCCTGCCTGAATCATTCCTTTCTGACGACTGGTTATGAATATTAATTAATTTTAAAACAATATTTAAAACATATTCCGTTATATAGTATCAAAAAAAATAGATTCTTCATTTATTATTTAGTGCTATTTGCCTAATGCAAATATTTCGCTTCGCTTTCTCAAAAAATAAAAACATATATGCTAATTTTCTAATTTAGTCTAGCTGGTTTAAAACTACTTGCAAAAATGCTTACCGATAGCAATCTTTATTTAATTTTATTTTGAGTTATTTTTTATTAAATTAATAACTCATTTATTACTACAAGCACCTAATATTCATAAGCTCATAATTCTAAAAAGTAAGGACATCTCGGAATATTCTCTCAATAATGAATGAGCAAACTAAGCCAATGGAGGTATTTCCTACTGATTATTACCGTAGCACAAGCTTCGTATTGCATTTCTGTTTCGTTTCTAAAATCGCTGCATCATTGATGTATTTTTAATGATTAAAAGTCTTTGTTTTATTAAAAACAGTTTTACTTTGTACTTTATTTGACACTTTCAACTTTGTTTATTTAACTAATCGTCATTAGCCTGAACAATGATAAAGAAAAATGAATTCTCGAGAATAAACAACATTTATTTTATTTATTCGACCCGAATTAATTTGTATATTAGCTTTTTTAATATTAGCTTCGTTAGTTTCTTTATAAATGGCACTCTTCAAATCATTACGATAGATCGAGAAAAGGAGTTTTGCAATGTCTTACCTATCCCTTCGGGTACAAAAATTGCCAGCATATAACATTGAACAAACTATATTTAACACTCTTACAAATTATATTAATTTCTCTCAAATGATAATTGACGTAATATTCCTTGACATCATTCGTCGCAGCGTTTTTTTAATTAATTACTTGGCTGATTAATTGATTAATTGATTGGATGACTGTAATTTTTTGAATAATGCTTGAGAAATAAACAGTGATAGGTAAAATCTTGTAAGAAATGGATGTACCCGAATTTCCTTTCGAGAAGCATAAAGTTTCATTAAAACGATCATAAAAAAGCTGCATGAAAAAAATGAAACTGAAGGTGGTTGTTGTTTACGTAAATAATATGCCAAGTTGAAATACAAAAAGGATCAGATTACGTGCATCGATTATTTTGGACTAAGAAAGGAAATTTTAGTCTGAGAAAGCCTTCGGTCTCAACACTGGTATTCTTAGACATTTCTTTTATTTTTTTAACATATTTTACATTGCCAAAAATTTTCCGTCTATACAATAAAGATAATTTTTTAGAAACAAATTTTTACATATTTAAATGTTTCGCTTATCAAATCCTATTTTTGTTGTTTATAGTGGCACAAACATTTATATGGTATTTCTGATTAATTTCTGCTAACCAAAAGCTTGAACAATAAGGACAAAATCAAAAATAAACTTGAAAAGCTTTTCTCTTTTTAGAAAAGATTGATTTGTATAATTAATGTAAAATAACATCACTAAGATTGACATATTAAGCAAATATGTAAATAAAGTTCATTTCTTTGTTAAATAAAAGGACGTTCGTATGGCGTAAGACGGAAAAATGGCATCAGTGATCGTTAAATTCAAGTCAGAATTCTTCTTTTTTCATATATCACATAACTACTTATTCTAAGTGACAGAGAACTTCACGGATGGATTAAATTAATGGTGATCGGATATGCATTTTAATGAATGAAAGAACTGATGGCAGATTTATTATGAAAATATTACGAAAATCTCGATGATTCATAGTGACATCATGCGAAAGTTCAAAAATTTCTTATGTAGAGATGACGCAAGGTTGTCTTATTTCTCTTCAAAAAATATTACTATCCGACTGTCAATAATTTTAAATAGTGGACAAAGGAATCAGCTGTAAAAAATAAGGGAAACAATCATTATCATATGAATAATTTTGATGGTTTTAAAGCAGAAAACAGGTCGTTTTGTTTGGGTGTTATAAATTATATGAAGCTATGCATAAATAAAAAAAAAGGCATATGAAATCTATTCAGACATTCTCTACGAAGCTAAAAATACGTGGATGTCGAAAATTCATTTCCGATCAGATAGAAAACTTTACGATAGATAAGTAATCTGAAGTTTTGTTCAGTGTGAAGATATGGAACAATAGAATCGAAAGAATCAAAAGCAATGTATTGATGATTGTTATTAATTATTACGTTATTTTTTTCATCTTTTGATTTTGAAGAAGCATTGTAGTTATCAGTAAGATGGCACAAATTTGTTTGAATAATTAACAATTATTTAAATAACATTAACATTTCGCTATTGGAAAGAAAAGGAAAGGAAAGACGAATAATCTATGAGATGAGGTAAACTATTTTTTCATTTCACTGTTGACCTTTTTATCTTAAAAAATTGCTTCGCATATATTAGCATCTATCATTAATGTTCTTTATTGTTTTATGAATAACAAAATAAGACTTCCTTCTCTCTTTTCATTTCTCCTTCCCTCCCATTCATTCTTCTTCTGTGTTTCACTGAAACCGATTAGAGAGCTTCGTGAATGTTTTCTCCTTCCTTTATTTTCCATTTCAGTTTACCTCCTAAATCTTCACTTCTGTTTCTTACTTTTTGTCTCCATCGATCATTCAATTATCCATTTCCGCTTTTTATCATCCATAACAAAGTTCATCCTTTCCAGAATCCATCATGAATTATTAATATCTAATTGATTCACTGATCTTCAGATGTATTTAGTTAGCAGATATTCACTTTTCAGATTTTGTTAACAAACAAAGTTAATTATTGTTCTTTCTTTCTGCGACAAGTCTAATGTATGATATTTTCATCTCATGATAATTTTTATTTTCAGAAATGTCACATAAAGAAGTAACACATTTTGTTAACTGATAAGATTCTCAAGATGTGAGGGAAATCCTTGAAACGATCCTCAAGTTTCCATGTTTTTGCAAATTCTTTTTTGCTTTTACGAAGTGCCTCAGTGTTTAAAGATTTTCCACTTTGTATGTGTGTTGGCATGCATTTCTATATAGAGTTGATCTATCTGTCTATTTCTCTTTTCTTTTCTCAGACTTTCCTTTCAAACTTATATCGGCATTTCTTTGATTAGTGACTTCTCCGTCAATCTTTTTTATCAGAGAATAAAAATTCTGTCTCTTTCATCTATGGCATATTTCTTCTGAATTATCACCACGTATTTCTAAATTATCATGGGCACTCAAATATAAAATAAAATGACTATTCCTTCTAAAATTTCAATAGATTAAATGCATAAATACGTAGAATGAAACTCGAATTAAAAGGTCATCCAAAAAATCACCTCACCTCTTATATCATTCATGATGGCCAAATTGTTGCAAGTTTATCCCTTGAAAAAGGATGATCCGTTAAAAGAGTACATGAAAATTACATGTTAGAACCAAAACGAATTTAAAATTGATTTGATAGTTAGATTAAATATCAATTTTATATGTTCAATTTGATGCCCTCTGTCGAAATCATATTTTTGTCTGCGTTTTCTACATCAAACAATGACATAATTTCAGGTCACAAACTCCACAGAATGTCCACAGGACTACTATTTTATTGCATTCTTCCAATTCTAGCATTAGCACAGAGTAAGATTATTTCCTTTTTATCTAACTGGTATATCTTCATAAGTTTAATCTTCTATTCTCGTGAATGAGATTGATTAGCCTGGTTTTTAAATAAACTAAACAAAGTGAAATTATTTTTTGTCTGCTACAGATTAATCTTTAAAATATTTGATTAAAAATTTCATTTCTTTGTTTCAGATGCACTATTAGACGAAGCAAGTGAATATAGGCAAGAGTTATGGCCTTATATGAATGACATGGAACAAGGGGTAAATCCAAATGAATTGTCTAATTTGGTTCGTTCCCAACTTTTTTTTTGCTTTGAAATGATAATAGGAATAATTATGGATAGAGTTGAAACAGTCTAACAAGGATAGTAGTCAAGAATGATCCAATGGTTACAACCGTTAGGGAATGAACCAAATAATAAGATAAGCTGGCCTCAATGATAGCGATGAAATCATATTATTCCGACTGAGTTCGTGATAGTCACATATTATGATATGCAGATGTTAATGATAGCGATAGTGAGATGATAATGATAATATAACATTTAGAGAAATCGATAGATAAGTCACAATGACAAGTAGTAATGCTTAGTAAGTATTAGCAGAGAATATCAGTCAATATTTTTCACATTCGACCCGTTCGAATATATTCTCCACCATGACATTTCAACAAAATTCTCTTTTCCATGAAAATGGAAATCGTTTACTATTAACTTAAGAAAACAGTTAAGAATTGACAAATGAATGGTATTTTGCTTTACATATAACATGAAGATCGTTATTGTATTGATTTAGAAAAAAAGAAAAAATTTTGAAAAATTACAGTTGTATTATGATCCACGTCTGAAACGTTGGGCTAGTCAGTTGAGATTTGGTAAACGAGCAAACTGGGCCAGTAAAGTACGATTTGGATGACATTGTTAAGGACACGAAACTTACAGCAATGGATCAAAACCAACTGACCTTTTTCTGTTTCTGAAATTAAAAAACGGCTTGCTTACTTTTCTCTTCAATGTGACCGTCCTCAATGCACAATCTAATTAACAATACCCAATTCATTCGCCCTATCAAAAAAGCTTCCTTCTTTCAACCTTCTCATTTCCTTTTGGAGATGCAAAAGTTTTGTTCCAATGAAGAATCCGTCCTCTCGAATTTTTAACATTAACGTGTAATGTGCAGAATAAATTGCATTAATCCTGCATCCATCCACGGAAGAGAATTGGTTTTTGACGTTCAAAAAATATATACCATTTCATCGGAAATGACTGTACTTAGTAAGTGAAAGACTTTCAGTGAAATATTAACACCTGACAAACTTCATTCCCATTAATTGGTTATCATTCTATGGCCAGTTTCCCTTAGCTGGTGTAAATCATCAAATCCGCCATGTCCATCATGCATTACCTATCTTTCATTTTGTATATCCAGAACCCTTCATGTCCTACTCGACAATTCCCAGTTGCAATCATGCTCTGTACAACGATACTTCCCTTCAATTGTCTACGAAGCCAATCTCGCGTTATTAAAAGCATGACCAATAACTGCTGTTACCAAAACATTATATTGATCACGAGAATGTGATCAGGAAACACGCGAAAAGAGGTGTCAACAGCAAAAATCCCTAACATCTGAAATACCCAGTGGTCAGAAAAGTTTCAACCTACACTTATGAATTAGAATGCTTAATCTACGCCGAAAAAAACTTAATTACCAATAACTGTTAAGCAACATCATCCAAAAGATATGGAAAGGAAAAGATGGTAACTGAAGAGATTCTAAGTTGGTATGATATCCTTGGTACCATGTAGTGCAGTCATTTTATATTAGCAACGCCATCCATTTCTTTTTATTTTATTCAAAATATAAAGCATACACAACATGAAATGAATATATTCATCTCTTTGATCGAAAATTAGTTCAATAAAAGGAAAGAGAGAAATTAAATATAGATGCAATAAATAACAGAATCATCATCATCAACATCACTTTCATTAACATCGATACAGTGCAGCATTTTCAATATGATAGTAACATAGGATTTCAACGTTTAATTCGGTGCTAAATTAAAAAAGGAATTGATTCTCAAAATTGAAGAATTTGAAAATCAAACTATATACTACAACACAGAAGAAAAATAGATTTTACTATATAATATGATCATATTATAAAATAGTTAATAATGGAAGTGAATGAAGTAATGCACAGTGAGTAGCTAAAATTAATTATTCGAAAAGAATAGAAAAATTGATGCTACGATTATATGTTTTATTTGAAATTTTGATCAATCGATTCAACCATAATTTTTTAGTTAGAACTTTTTCAGAAATATCCATTACGATGAAAGCACATGTAACCACTATTTAATGTAACCACTATTCAACTACCACTATTTAATCAGACGGACCTTTTACAATCTAAGCTTCTTTTCTTTTCTAATTTTCCGAAAACTACTATCTTTTTTCCTCTCTTCTCTACAGCTTATCCTTTTTTATTTAAGCAGTAATTACCCGGAAAAAAGACTTTACTAATTTTTCAGAGTTGATTAAGCTAACATCTGAAAAGACATTTCTTTGCAGAAATACCATTATTTTAGCACAATTAAAGTCGAACCTAAAAAGCCTTTGGGTATACATAACCTAAGTTAAAGGCTCTTGAAGAGATCTGAAAACTAAAAACAACAAATACTGCAAGCTTATCATAAGCCTAAAAATTGTGTTACAGAGTAACAGAAGATTAGGGAGGAAAAAAAGATTAACGCTGACCGGAAAATTTTCACGTGATAAATTCAGTACAAAAGAAGTTAATCAATACAATAACACAAGTCGTATAGAATCACAATTAGTATAAAAATTAATTTCTGAAATTCGGAGCACCATTAAGCATTATCCTTCGTCGATTAATTATTCATCTCTCGAAAACACTAACAATCTAAGGCCTTATTGTAGGACTACGTGACAATTATTTATAGTTTTGATTGTACAATTAATGCTGACATTGCCAACATTATGAACAAGAATCCGGGTTTCAGATCTCATTTCCCTGTTTGGAAATCTTAATCGATCCTTAATTGGGACTATAGTAGCAAAACTAAAGTTTCCAAAAAGTTTGTATGCGAGTGCTACAAGATGGCCTTAAAAGTAAATAATTGAAGGAAGAAACGGGAAAAAGAGCATTAACAACAAAGTTAGTAGGTAAATAGAAATTACCTTTGCACTAAGTGCATAATTTGACGAATTGTTTGCTCAAATTGAGGTATAATGTGCTGTTCAGCTTGCATAACTTCATTAGAAGAAGATGAAGAAGCACATTGCCGTAGCTGACGGATAAATACATCCATACGATTTAGCAATTCACTGTAATTTAAAAATTAAGAAATTACAAACTATGTCAATTTGGAAAATCCAATTTAAGAGGCGACGTCAAAGAAATGAGGAATATTTTGCTATAAGTCATTGTGTATTAATTCAAATAAATTTAGGAATTATATCAGAATGTTCTGGAAATAACAATGCATCGGTAAAATTGAGAAACCGAAGCAAATGTTAAATACTTTTTGTTTACTAGCAAATTTTTTACTTATCAAAGAAAGTTATATGATGGAAAATAAAATAATACAGCAGGCTTCAAGGCCTCTGAGCCTTTGCTCCAATCATCCTTTTATTAGAACTTTTTTTGCTTCAAATTAATGAATTGTGGAGTTCTGTTGATATTTGCATAACCTACATTTTTCAATTTTACAGATTGAAAAAGGTAAATTATATAAATATTTCACCTAAATTGTACATCCATTTCGGTATTAAGCACAATAAAAGATGTCAAAGTAAGCCCTCAGAGAAGTATTTCAGAAGTAAGTTTTACAGCAGTTTTTCACTACACGATAAACGAGAACATATGACAAAACACGAATAAATAATTTAATTTTATATGAAATTCTCTCCTTCTTACAGGATTTGACAAGAACTAACCGATAACGAAATTTTGAATGTGGTGAAATATTTTCGGCATAAATGGCGCACAAGTGATGAAATTGTTGCATCAAATCACTTAATCGGATCAGTAATGCATGTTGGCCATCGGCATAATTGGAGTGCTGTCCTTTAACTCGACTAATGCGTTCGTTACGTAAATCACAAATACAGCTTTCCAGACGTCGATACAAATCCAACAGTGAATCGCGGCTTACCTAAAGTTATTTAACTAACAAATAATTTACTATTCATAAACACATATACACATAAGATCTAAATAACAAATTAAGTACGAAACAAAGACAACATGATCATTTCCTAAACTCCAAGATTTAGGTTAATTTATTACTAGTTCCTCTGATTTAGAAGCTTTCCAAGCAATTATGAAAAGTTTTTTATTTCAGTGCTTGCTTTAATGAAGAAAGTTTCTATACAGCCCCTGCAATAAATTACTAAAAATAGAAAGCTGACTAAAAGTTTTCATATGAAAGCAGAAGTACTTACAGCAGGCTGACTATTTTCTCGGACACTGGAAATTGAGCCATCAGAAGTGGATGTCATACCATGTGTACCGGTAACATTCTCCATCATTGAGTAACGTTTCTCACCAGTACGAAGAAGCGGTCCTAAAATTTCAATCTTTATGTATACATTTGGTAACTGATAAACACAATATAATTATGCCAAAGCTTTTATGAAATTTGTATGAGTGCCGTTTCAAAAAAAAAAGATGGCATGATTATTTCTTAAATTTTTAGATTCATCTTGAACTTTAAAATGCTGAAATTTCATACTACAATTACATAGTTCCATCGATCGCATAGGACGTCCTTTAAATGATTATTTTAATAGTTTGATCTGATCAATGAAAAGAAATTTGCCTTTGAAAGGTGGCGCAATCAAACCCGGATTACCCATTTTTTCGAATTTTGAAGTGAGATCACGGAGTGATTGGGCTCGCATCATGCTGCCGCTAAGTTCGAGTTCGTCTGTTTCATTGCAATCAGGTATTGTTGGGTGAGCTGTTACCTTGGACCTTAATTTATTCAATGCATCGCCATCTATACCACTATCTCCAGTGGCTCTTTTTGGTAGTATTACAGAACTGGCCTGAAATATCAAATGAGTTGATAATATACAATGGCCAACATTAGAGGATTGTACTAGAGTATTGAGCAATACACTTAACACCGAATGCATATATTGTATATTCCGCAGGATATTTCGTCAAGAGTGATATCTATTAATAAGATTGGATATCAAACAACATCTTAAATAAAATTTTAGAAAGGACTCATTTTGATTGATCTTTGTAGTGTGGAATAAGCTCTGGGATGTAGTTTAGCAACCGGTCCTTGCGCCAAAGATCCTTTGTCCAATCGTTCCGGCTGCATTATAACTGCTGAAAAATAAGTGATGGATTTTATTAGTAACTTTCCTGCCGAATATCTTAATTTTTTCAAAAATTTAATTTGAATACGTTAATCCAAGCAAAAAATGACGATATATGTTAAAACTATGCTATCCATTCATAAACAATTAGGGAATAATATGGACTCTTTAAGTTTTGAAGATCCTCAACACGTAGTCAAAAAGTTTGAATGACATATAAAGCAGTAACATTTTATCCTTTGAGGAAAACATTAATAACTTATTGTAGAAAAAGCACCTTTGCTGGAATCATCATCGGACGATTCACTACTCTGAGCATCTCGTTGCATAGAAAACGGACGATGATGTTGTAACGGGGCAACTTTTTGCGTTATCAACGTACGTACTCGTGCCGTTTCGATATTAACCGATTCACGCTGTTCGCCATTCCGGCTAAAAAATAATTAAATAGATGGCCTAAGCATTAAATTTTAAAAGCTTCTCTGATACAGATAGGAATACTTTGCTAATTCCCTTATTTTTCCTGAAAATTCAAACTGAAGCATGAAAATCACAGTCCGGTAATTACCAGTATATAAAAAAAAATGTGAGCAAGGATTTGTTTTTCTTAATGCATTAAGTTTGCTTATTTCTGCAGAAAATTGTGAAAAAATGAGATAGAAGCAGAGGATTTAAAATTTTTTGGGAGCAGGAAAAAATAAAAAATTTACCTTATTTAATCTCAATGAAAAAAATAATCTGCCACAAGAACAATGATCTGGATTTTTCCAGCACTTATTTTAAACTAATGACTGTTCATAAAGCAAGAATATTTTCTTTACGCAGATTCACAGAAGATAAGTATACCTTTGCTGTTTTTCAGCAGGGTTTCGTTTTTCCACATGCCTTAGTTGACGTATTCGTGCTCGCAACTCATTTTCTCCGACATCATGAGCTCGACCATCTTTCGAGGTAGCATTATTTGTGGTTGCAGTTTCATCAGTAACCTCACGCGGCAACTCTTTGCACTTTAGTGATCGTACAGCTGCTGTCTTTTTTCTCTGTGACCATTGGTCCTCCGATTGTTTTGGTACAACACCCGGCTGAAGACACAAATTTTTTTAATTTGATTTGGTTTGAATCGAGTGATTTTTAGCATTTCTGATGTTGAAGTGTTAAAGCAATTTGAAAAAAAGTGTTAAATATTTTAATTATAAAGACAGTCCTATGATCACATCTTAATGAATTTGGAAACTAACAGAAAATAAACGGATGATTTAATTGAAAAAATTTACTTCCCCCAACATTAATATCTTTTAGGGAAATTGTACAAGACAAAATTGAAACGACCATATTTTATATAATACAATGAATATGATTACTGAAAATGATAACTCTAGCTTGAATAAAGTTGAATAAAATCTTTACTTACTCGTACTCCCGAAATTTTGAAAATTTCCTCTTGAAATCTCTACCTTTTTCAACTTCGAATCGGTTTTCGCGATCACTGCTATCGACGGTTCCACTCTTTCCGCTAAATTTGTTATGGTGTTAACATCCGAAAAACGAGAAGCAATAGTTACCGGAGATTCCGATTTTGTTTTTTTCAAACGTTGTTTCAACTGTTGTAGCAACTCATTTTGGCCAAAATTAACACTTTCACTCATTGCATCAGATGCATTCCTAGAACTGACAAAAATATTTCCTTCATGAAGATTAATAGTAACAACAGCAATATGAAAGGATTTTCGAAAGGGGAAAAACATAAGATAAACAAAACGAAATTGAAGTTAAGAGGAATTTAATTATTTCATTTTTACTTTATTATTTTATCATTTTTGATGAGGCAGTATTTTCATTGAATTTTATGCTGTAAGACAGCATTGAAATAAAAGCTGGATCAATATCGATGAAGCAAATTGAAGATACTATCATACCTTTAGTTTATTTCATCAGCATCTACTTTAGCACTACTTTTAAACATTAAATACCAGAAAAAGACAAAACAAGTTTATGTTTTGAACTAGAATTAAACACTGAAGCCAGATGAATTAAGATAGAAAAAATAAAATATAAGTATTACGAAGAATGAGGCAAAGCTGGATGAAATGAAAAAGATATCAAAAATTTTAGTTACTTACATAAAAGTAACAAAGCAAAAGTAATAATAGAAATTTCAAAAATTTCTCAAAAAATTTGTTCACCGTAGTAAATTTTAGTCACATTCAAACGAAAAATCATTACTTTGTCAAAAAACGATTTTTAATGGCTTGAAAGTTTCCAAAAAAGCTGAAATTCTATAACGATTTATCTCTTACAAAATAGTGAAAAAATTTAATATATGAAATTGTACATGCTTTTCAGATACTTTTCTCACTTACTTATTCCAACAACTATTGAAGGAAACTGGAATAGCATCCAACGAATCATCCGATAGACCACCACTATACTCATCAGTTGGTGACTGATCAACATCTTCCTGCAACGACATCGATTCCAGATATGCATCAATTCGAGCATTTTTCGGCATAGTACCAAATTTACTGACCGCCTTACGTAAATTTTTCTCTGCCAGTGGCGAAATCAACACGTCAGACGTTGATGTACTATCTGTAATTTATCGTACACTAGAATTGAAAATTGAAATGTGAACCACTTGAAGAAAATCATGACGTAATTTAGGCTTCAATTGTCCGAATCTAAGTTCTAATTTTAAATTATGTTCAACCTCATACCGTGAATAATAGTCAAAGCCCTCTACCGTTATTATTTTAAAAGACAATAATTATCATTTTAATTTAAAGAACTTCAGGCAACTAAATTTCCATTTTCATTCAAATATTGCATATGTTTTAGCTAAAATTGGAAGTTCGCATGCTAATAATGTCAAAACTATCACTAACCTAATTTTTGCAATCTTGGCTTTGCAGACGATGGTGGAATTGGTAACGGCAAATTACGCTGAGTTGTTTTCACTCTAACTGCATCACGTGCACTATTGCACTGCATAACTGTAGAATTTGACGACGTACTACCGACGTAACTATCTTGGTTCCGCGGTGGTGGCGGTGGAAATTCGATAGTAGGTGGTGGTAACGGTGTACCGGCTGAAGAAGAGCAAACTGCTGGGACCGCAGCAACCGTACCAACACTACTTCCAGCACTACCACTGCCATGGATGTCTGAGATACGCGGTGATGCAATAGATACGATGCTTGACGGAATATTGGTGGAACCATTGCCTATCGCAATGCGATGAGATGATGAACCATGATGACGTGAAGATGTACGTAAACGTTCCAACTGTTTGTCTACCTAGAAAAGATTTCACTGTAACATCTAATCAGATTATTACGGAATGTTAAAAAATTAGACTTTAGAAATTTTCGAGAAAAAAATCCTGAAACTTTACTCTTTCTTCTCCAGTTTAACCAACCTCTTCATCAATATTAGATTGCGGAAAAAGTGATTCCAAGCTGGCATGGATTTCTTTGAAACGTGGTCGATCACTAGGTGACCAATTCCAGCATTGTAACATCAACCGATAAACTGACGGAGGACAACCTTCTGGAGCATCCATTCGAAAACCTTTTTCCAGTAATCCGTAAACACTGTTCAGCTCAACACCTGGATATGGACTCATCCCATAGGTAGCGATTTCCCATAATAGTACACCAAATGCCCAAACATCACTTTTAGTACTGGAATAATAAGAATTACGTAACTGCCCAAATGAAATAATTTATATCAATAAAATTATGCATGTTATGTTGAATCTCAAAGAAATAAATGCAGTGCATTACCTGAATGTGTTGTAGACAAGACCTTCTGGTGCAGTCCATTTGATCGGGAACTTTGCTCCAGCATGGGCAGTATATGTATCTTCCCTCATAAATCGTGCAAGACCAAAATCAGCAACTTTGACAACATTCTCTTCAGCTACCAAACAGTTTCGTGCAGCCAAATCGCTGAAAGATTTTAATCTGAAGAAAACTGTGTCATAATCGTTTTGCTTCATACTCTATATCAGTGTTCACTATCAAAATATCCCATCCAATGTATTTACAATTAAGCTATATCGATAATTAAATCGAATTCTGCAAAAGAGAACCAAACATATATCAGAAAAGATTATTATTAAAATTTAGCTTTCGAGAATCAGATTATAACTGGCTTCACATTTTCCACTGAAATTTACCGATGAATGAAATTGCGTGATTCAAGATAAGCCATTCCTGATGCAATCTGTGTAGCCATATACATTAGCACTGTTGGTGATAATTTCTTGTCGCATTTCCTGAACAATCAGTATTTAGAAAACTAAAGTATAGGTTACGCTGATATTTTAAACTTACAATACACCATTTGAATTACTTGAAATAATAATGAGAAGTTTCCTGCATATAAACACAGCAAATATATAGACATGCAAAGCGTAAAAATAAATAGAAGAGATTCAATATTCAGGAAAGTATCTTAAGCAACAATTGCAAGATAAATAATTCTGACAGGAACTGAATATGTGACCCAGGACCAAGTTAAGAATATAACAATTATGCTCAAAAAATTTTCTCGAAGTTTGAAATTAGTCCATATATAGAGTATATAATAGAGTATGGTCTAATTTCATCGGCACTTTAAGCATTTGAAATTTTTATATTTCAATATGAAATATTAAAGAATCCATTATGAAATTTATGCAGCGGACCTGAGATAGTCGAGCAAATTTCCTCTACTCATATATTCCGTAATAATATAAAATGGCGGTTCACGAGTACATACTCCCATCAACTGTACCAAATTTGGATGATGTAAATCTTTCATAATTGCTGCTTCTGCCAAAAAATCATGTAATGCCATTGCCTCTTCCTAAAAATATTTCTATTTTCGGAATTCGGTTGACAATTATAAGAAGCGATAGTTTCAATTATGATGTTGGAAGGGTAATGAGCCAATATTTTATATTTCCGTAAAACGTTAGATTAATTATGAATTCCGTCGAACATCGCAGAGATCAGGCAATGCAAACTATCAAGCGGAACATAAAATGAGAAATCATGGAGCGGAACATAAAACGAGAAACCATGGATAGATAACTGATTCACACAAATTTGATTACTTTGGTAGAGCAAATAAAGATACTTACTTTCAAAGTTTTCACAGCAACTACTTTTTCATGTTTTTTCCAATAGCCCTCATAGACGTCACCGTACTGTCCACCTCCTGACGTAAAATTAAAAAATCCAAAATGGCATTAGAAACATCGGACAGACGACTTGTACGGATAATAGAATAAGTTTTAATTTTTATCATTATCATATGAAAATGCACAAAAGATTGGACAAACCTTAATTTCTACCATTATCACAAAAAAACACTAAGTTTTTGCAGAAACTTTAATTTCTTCCTTATCATGTAAAAGCAGAAAATGTTTACTCGAAGAACAATAAAAAAGCATACCAAGTTTACTTCTCATGATAATTTCAGATCTTTCTACTTCCCATTCATCGGGTTGAGTTGGCGATAATGAAAATATCATCGGCGGTCGTCCCTTCTTGGGTGCCGGATATAGTAACGTACAGATAAGACCGTCTGCATGAAGACTGTGATGATGGACCAATTCGCCTAGCGTTTTGAATTTACTTTCTTGAGTAATGTACAACTGTAAATATTTCGTCAGAAAATTTACTAATAATCACTGAAAAAACTGTTGGATGGACGAATGCAGAAACAGAATTATGCCATTAAGCATGCAAAGGGATTGAATAACTGTAAACAATTCCGGTTTAAATATCCTAAATCGGAAAGTATAACATTTTATTCCCTAGTATTATTCAGGGACTAAAGAAAGGAAGATATGTCCAGAATGGTGCCGGGCAAATATTAATATCTTCTAGAATCAGACAAATATGTGATCGCGGAAACGATATCCTAACCATTGGGTTAGTTAATAAACGAAAAACGTAGCTCTGTCAACATGTGATAAGATTGTAAATTTTTGTAAGCTCGCAGTTGTTATATTGAAGATGGATAAAATTCGAAGAAACAATGGCGGATTAAATTAATGAGGACTAGTAAAACATGAGTAAATAAACAAAAATTTAACTAAGTAATGAGGAGGAAAAATAAATTAAGCGCAAAAAGAATAAAAAAGGTAAATGAAAAAGATATTTAGTTCCCAAAAAAATTGCATAAAACAATCAATAACTCTTAAATTTAATGGAAAAAATGAATCCTAGAAATTCTTAAATTAAGTTCCAAAAATAGAAAACAGGGATAAATTTGCAGACAACTTACCCAGTCGTTACGATCCACTGAAATCCGATAATGATAAACGCGACCATCATGTCGTACTGAAATTGAAAACTGTCCGATGCTGGTTTCCGATTCACGAACCAAAAAGCTACCGCTAATACCGGAACTTAACAGATATTCACTTTCGTTTCGGCTTACCTTCCCATGATACCTGAATTCATTATAACAGTAATTAATAATTCTAAGCATAAGGAAACTACTGTCATCAGTCAATCATTATCTTTTATCGTCGCTATTTCACATAACAAAATTTGACGGGAAAAACAATTGTGAGCAAAATAGTCAACAGACTTGACGAAAAAGCGTCACGCTGCCAGCGATCAATTATTCACCTCATAGAATATTTGCACTAATATAAACATGAAATAAGAAATACTTTTAAGCATTTCTAAAAGTTTCTACATTAATTCATAATATCTTCCTATCGATGAACAGAAAATAATTTATAATAAACACTGAAAATTGTCATTTTTCATCTCAAAATGGTCGTCAAGTTATAGCGTTAAAATTATATATATGTAGCTTGTATTTTAATATGTTTAAATTTTGATTATGACAAACAGCATATGATTTGTGGTAAGTACTTAACTATTTATCATTTACCAACCATTTTATCGCATATACTTGCACCTTCCGTACACTTTACTACAACTTTAGAAAATCACGATATTACTGTACCACGAATGCTTTTCCAATGAATTAGACGGTGCAATGTAGGACGACGGTACCCAACCAATACAACCACTACGTCTCGAATTTTCACGTCGAGTATTTACCAACTGCGCTTCACACCATTCACCAGCTTTATTATGTCCAATCACCCGTATTTGATCACCTGAAATATTCTGGCGTTGAGTAAGTTGTCCAATGTCCAAATCAATAGTTTTATATAGTTTTATATATATGCTTCCGTAGACTAAATCAGATATTCGAGATCTGAGCAGTCACAGGAAAATATCAATAAATCGAGCTACATAAGGAAGTAATATTTTTGAATATTATATGTAGGTTAGCCATGATCAGAAAATAATGAATATTGACATTTAAACAAGATAGGCTCCGTGGTACTTTATTAGAATCTAAAGTTAGCAAATGCTTGGTAACTGATTCATCCATAATGAAAAACTGAATGTGACCACGCAAAATTATCATTCTTGAAATTTTAAATGGTAAGATCTTTTTTTTTTATTTCCTTATGTAGCTAATAAATAATGCAGTTTATCTCGTCTGTATAAAACATAATTTCAGAATCAATTTATACAAGACATAACGTGGCACCACTACAGTACTGTTTTTTGTTAACTTTCTCGATATGTAACTTACAGTAGCTACAAAGAGAACATTTTAAGAAGCATGTACTACGAGAACTAGCCAAAAAGCACATATTTCCATAAGAAGAATTTATATTGTCTGTCTATGATAATCATTATCTTTATCTGTCACAGCAATTTCAGTCCAACTAAATCATCTCAAAAATAAATCATACTGACCTCTTTTAAGTGAAAGTTGCTCTTCTCCAACACCGTGAAAATCATACAGCGCAACAAATAAGGAATCATTTTCGCTGCTTGCTGATCCGTTCAACAGATCTTCTCTGGAAAAAATTAATGAGACACAATATCTTCCTCAATTAAATTTACTTAAATTTGTCTTTTAAATTAAGATAAAAAAAAACTAAAAGATTCTTGCAACAGTATCTACTGTAGGTGGTGTTCTTAAATAAACAAGAATATCCCAACACAGGAATGTATGATTATTCGGTGCAGTATATCTCATAGCATCATTATAACTAACGACAAACCAAGGAAGGAATTTATAGTGTCAACCAATCTCCAACTGTCCATTCATTCCGGTCAAATGGATTTGGCCGTCAAATGTAATTCTCGAAAGATATTTCAAATCAGTGATAATTGTAACAAAAAAAAACTTCCACACAAACATACAGTAGAATTTGACAATTACTCGCCATTAGAGCGCATCGTGAAAGCCAAACGAACTGGTCAATAGAAATGCATTTTCAGCTTTCTGGGACAATGAAAAGATATGGAAAGCAAAAGGAGGATGAAAAGAGGCAGAGAAAGCGGAAAGGAATTGCTAAGACTACCATTATTATCAAAGAAGGTCTAGCCTTTGACATCAATTGTGGTCCAACACACACACGACTTCACTGCCTTCCAACAATCAGACAATGACTGAAGGATAAATCATTATCCCTTCAACTAATCACATACTTTTCCGATCTTCTTTTTTCAAGTTAGAATGAAATTGTCAGCGACTTTTATTCTTCTAATATCAGTATTTGACTGTTGATTACACAAACTATTAGCTATTTTAGCATTAAACTGAAAAGAAGATACGGATTATATGTGAACAAGGTTAGGAAGAAGATTAGTGGAAAACAAAAAGTTTTAAAACCAAAAAGCCATTTGCAAGTTTCAACATTTGAAGTCTGAAATCATTCGACTTTCTCGAGCTCTGGCAGAATGTAAATATTTACCTGGATGACCATCTTGACGAATCATGCTGGTGAAGACGATGAGGATAATGATGATGATGATGATGATGATGATGATTGTGCTGTGCCAGGAATGTATCAACAGAAGATGGTCGATGGTCCATTTCTGTCGGATTGCTGAAGTTTTCACAGCACGGGCTTCCACAACGCCAATCATAAGACAAACTATCGAAGCATGCTAAAAGAAAAATGGATCAGTTATCATCATCACCAAAAACGGTGCAGTAATACAACTGTGATATAAATTGATCATCTATCTGTATTTTCATTATATGAAAGGTTTTATTATGTTAATAACACATAAAAAATTTATTTTGTCGTGAAAAGGTTATGATGTCGTTAACAATCATCATTTTTCGGAGATAGCACAATGCAAAATATTGAAAAAAAAACCCATTAATATAAATAAACAAACAGCAAAAATTTCAAAAAACAGTTGATAAATTTTGAATAATTCGTTAAATTTTCATAATTTATCAAACAAAAAAAAAGCATAAATAGCCAAGGAAAATTTCTCGCAGCTTATCATATTCAACAGAAAGTGATTTTTCACTTGCTAAATTTCTCCATGGAAGAGCAGGAAAAGCGAGAGAGAGAGAGAGAGCAAAAGAAAAGAGGATTCTATCAAAAGGTAAAGACAGTTATTATTAAGAGAGGGAGGTACCAATGAATTCTTCTCGCAAGAATTATAATGTATGTGTGTGATTGACCTTAGACACCAAACACATCACTATTTCCAGCTTTCGTTAACAACCTTCAATTTGTGCTAAGTCTAAAAAAAGAGTTCAAAGACAGAAAGATAAAACTGCTGTTAGAATGACTTCCTTTTCTCTCAATCAATTTCAAGTTTTGAAATACCCGATTTATGTAATTCACTAGAAACAATGGATAGAATACAGCAAATACCGGATCTCGGAATAACCTCATTTTAGCCCCCAGTCCTCAGTTCATAACACACTATCCAAGCATTCATCCATTTCACGGGAATAGCAGTGGTGAGCAATGTTCTCTGTTATTCATCTGCGAAAAAATGAAATTGGATAAAAAGAGTGAAAAATAGTTATATAAAAATATGATACAATATAAATGCACTGTACGGCTCGATGAATAGCTTTCAACATTCCTCTCCTTCATTTCAATCTCATTTCATGTTTGAAAATTCAACAAGCAATTCCTCACAAATGAATAATTTACTCAAAAAGCAAGTTAAGAAAAAAATGGAGCATTATCATAAATAAACAAATTGGAGTGATGGAAATTTGATGATTCAAAGAGTGATACAGAAGACAGCCGCATCCTTTAAACCGTTTGATCTTACTCTTAATTGCTGAATTAAGTTGATGCACACCGTTATCCACTACTTATCGGTCTAATAAATGTTTTTTTTTATTTGTGAAATATTGTATAAGCAATGCTATAGCATTTAAACAATAAAAAGAGAGTGAAGTGGCGAGATTCTGAAAATGAACTGATAACGAAAATGATATTGATAGTGGTGTGTCATATCACTATCAATATCTTGTCCTTCACACAATATATCTTCTAGTTCTAATCTGTTTCCAATTTTGTTGAGAAAATAAATAGTAAAATGAATTTGCAAATAACAAAATTGAATTTCAAAGCACAAATAGTGCAACAACATTGAGAAGTAGCAAACTGCAAAGTATTTTGAAATTAAAATGCCACTTAAAATTTAAAATAAAGCAAAATTTGGTGTGAGCAATTGGTCAACCAGTCAATCAATTCATTTTATCGGCTACATATCAGTCGATGACATTCACCTGCTGTAATTCAAAACAAAAAAAATCATATGGTCAGGAAGTTTGGAGTGTATTCCGGGAAAATTGAGAAATTACCGCTCAAAGCAATGCAGGAATTGAAATAAGGTGCAATTTTTAAAGAAATATAACAGATTACTTCGACGACAAAATCGCCAAGGAAAAAAGTCAAAATTACTTTAATAATTAATGAAATAATCAATCAATTAAGATAGCTATTGCACTAGGCAAATTCATTAGAGGAAGAATATAGCTGTCACAGCAGGCCAGCAGTGTACTATCATCATGTACTGTAGTCTGCTGTTATTTTTACAGTAATCAAACAGCATTAAAATTTCAGGAAAGAAAAAAAGCAGTATATTTATAAATAAGGTAAATAAGTAAACCAATCTATCAATTACTTAATATAACAGAATTCAATAAAAGAAAAAAAGATTTGTCTGTAAAATTACTTTCGTTAAGTAATCCAAACAAAAAGTGTGTAAGTAAGTAAATTACGTGAGATGAAAAAAAAAAGGAAGGAAAGTGATCGCATCGCAGTCAGAGAAGCAGGAAGTGCGATTGACTGATTTAAATGAAACAAAGAGAAACAACAATACAATCAGATTACATCTCGCCCATGCTTTGATCATCCTGGGTAAGCAGCGTAAGGACCGAGGTTAGGTATCTGCGGTCTGATAGTTTGTCGTGCAATAAGTTGTTTAACACCGTGGCATCTTCACAGCTTAATATTGATTTATGATAGCATATGGATAAAAGAGGATACTTAGCTTTATCAGAGTATGTAATTAGGCAGCATCAATGCTGTACATGTCAGTTCGCCACCACAACCAGAACAAGGGATAATTAAATTTGAAAGTGACTGGCGGACGAAAAGAGGACAAAGTGATGTTGTGCTTTGCCATAGCCTATAATTCTCACCCGTTAAATGATTTGAACAAAAAATTTAATTTGAGAAATATTTAAAAAATTCTTTCCTTTATGCAACAAAAATATTTGTAAGAAAATTTTTCTTTTTTCAAAAAATCTTTACATATTAAGGATTGAGAAGAGTCGTGAATATACAAAATTATTTAGTTTAAAGGTCCAAACAAGGAAATTGAAGTGCAGATGAAAAAGAATACGAAGGACAGTAAGATAAACTTTCTCCTTCCTAAGTGGCTCCATCTCAGTAATGATGAATCGCTGGATAGTACAAAATATTGCATGAAAAGGAAAATGCAGTAGTTTAACCAAAATAATATTGATGACTGTGATGCTCCACGTACATGAGTAGAAGTACTATTGATGATATTTAAAAGGTCATCATAGTTTAAGTCATCATAGTTTAATGCAAAAAATCTTTCACGGGCAATAAAATGAAAAAAATTTCCACATTTTATGAATTAAAATTTGATCTGTAAATGTGATAAAACATAATTCATAACGGCTGTTAGATCCTTCAGGAAAAAATCTTGTCATTTTAATTTCTGATTCTTAATAAAGCAGGATCATCATACCCAATTTTCCAACACGACTAAAATACTATGTCAAAAACTTCATTTATAAAAGCTATGACAGTTAACTTGAAAATGAAACTCATAAAGCTCAACAAGAAGAATTCGATCTAATAATGATATCCTTCAATATGATGATTTCAAATGTTTCATTCTCATATTTCACACCTGATAATGTTATATATCCAATCCGATCACTTTATCTCCATTTATTTCTCCTTCACTTCTTAACTGTCTCGGAATTCGGTACAGCGGATAAAGTGATTTATCCAAATGGTATACCATCTTTATTATGACCTTTCAAATTTTGCAATAAATACGATAAAGTTATTTGCCTTTCAAATTTAATATAAATCAGGACAATGAAAATAACGAAACGAATTTTTTGAATTCACTTTTTACACACATTGATAAATTCCTTTCTTTTATACATACAAATAAATACACACTCCTGCAACTCTAACATAATATCAAGGCAAAAAGGAAAGAACCAAATTGGAGACATTTAAAAACCATTCAAGCAAAACATGAAAATTAATTCACTGATATTCTGAGACAAATAAATTTGGTAAAAAAAAGTCATTATGAGTGTGGAGAGGTGGAGACGGAAGAAGGAAAGAAATTCTGATGTCTGAACTTGATAAGTGGCTTTTTATTGTTACTGCCTGGGATACATTCTTTCTCTTATTTATTTACATTTTATTTATTTATTTACAATTTATCAAAAGGGACAGCTTCGGTCTAAAACTTTAATAGTATTACTTTTCAACCATCATTCCTCCTTTCTCTCTTGAAATGAAATCAATGAATTTTTTACTAATTAGACTGAAATACTAACTAAACGTGTTAACTTCAATCTCTAATATATTTATTTTTTATCCGATTTCAACTGTAGAAAGCGAATCAAAAATTTCTAATCGAAAATTTAGACATCAGGGCTTTTTTATTTTATTGTAACATCGACAGTATCGCGCAGGATAAAGGACTCGGATGATCTCGATGTTTACAAGCAAATAACAAACCATCATCTGAATTAATTTACTAACACTGATTGCATAATTTGAATGTGATAAAGCAACAAAACATTGGAATTTGAAAGGAGGGAAAAGGGTTGAAAATCGGGATGAGAGTAGTTGAAGCATTTAATCCAGAATTTATCGCATAGTTTGCATAATGAACTAAAAAAAGCTCTGATGGATAAAACAAATTGGAGATGTTTTAAAAAATTGGAAAACTAATAAGAAATTTGTTCAAATTTTTACAATACATCCCTTCTTCACCGCCATTTCTCGCATTATTGATGATGACCTTTTCAACAACTTCAAAAAGAAAAAGAAGAGCAGAAAAGGAAATAATACAAAATTAACGAGTTAGATTTATTGCATTGTAGAATACATACTTGTTACAACTAATTTGATTTTTTGAGTGGTTTGACAGACTATTATTTTAAGTGTGCAAAGCATAAGTGTGAAACGATATCAATTTATGTTGCTGTTACACTAAAATAGATCTTGTGTGCTTATCATCCTAAATAAAGCATAAATTCCAGATTAAAATCTAACAATGAATTTATTGTCGCCAGATTCGAATTTTTCGATATCATTGGAATATCAGAATGTCCAGATCTGGGGAAATGCTGAAATAATCAATGCTCATTTGTGCAACATCCTAGCCTTCGAAATGTATAACTTTGAATATTCGATTTTACAAGTTTGAAGGAGTCTTCATAGCTGATGTAATTCTCGACGTTCCAGGAGTGAAAGTGTTAAATGATCAATTTCTAAGTCCCTGTTAATCTCAGAATTATACACATCAATCGCGAAATGATTA